GCAGGCAGCCCAGTATGATTAGCCTGTGAAAGCGGGCGATGGCGACGGTGAGCATGGGCAGAAGGCCGCTGGGCACTGCCCTCTGATTGGTGGAGCGGACAGACCATTGCGTGCCCGCACAAGCAGCACGTTCTGAATTACAACCGCTGTGGGCACCCTGTGGCCTTCTGTCCACGTATATGAAACACCAAGAACCCTGCAAAATGCGAAGGTCGTGAAGGTGGAGGAGCTCGTGCGTTGGGTCAGATGAGGTACGTTCTCATTCGTACTCCGCCCACTGGCCGCTACTCTCACTGACACTTGAAGATCTCATGCCAGCCTTGAAACTTCGTACACCTGTGTTAAGCCACATGCAATCTGCCTTCATTGTAGTCATTGTCAAGTTAAGCAGGTAGTACACGTACACAGTCTTAGTAGAAGTATACAAATACAATTTGTAGCTGTTTTATATGAGTGTGATTGAGCCAATATGTCCGTCTTACCCATAAGCATGCCGCATTGAGCTTGTCTTGGTTGACTGTCTTGAGAGTCTTGGCCAAGACCAGGCGTCTTCCCAAGACAAACGACATAGCTTGGCTAACACCGGATGTCTTGGGGTCTTGGGCGTCTTGAGCATGTTATCCAAGACGCTCAAGACGCTCCCCAAGAGCTGGCGGTTTTGCTGATGAGTCCGGCGCGGGACTGTAAGACCACCATCACGCCACCCCTATCCCAAGTGATGGAACGCGTGCCTCGAGCTCAAGTTCTCCCCTGATGTCCTTCGAGAGGCCCTTCCTCTTTCAAGCAGCTCATAGAGGGCGGCAGAAGGCCAGGCTCGTGTTTGTGGAGCAGGGAATGGTCATTGGTCTGAAGTGTATTGTAGAGTTGAGGTTCAGGTGCACATACGTGCTCTCTCACTCAATTTACTGCCGTCTAAATGCTGACAATCTGCAGATTAGCTCGTATTCGGTGTCCGACCTCATAAAGGCCCACTCCCGTGCGATCTACTTCGGCCACCAAAGCCAAGTCTTTCCCCAGAACGATGACGGTCATCGACGGAGCAGTTGAAGACTCGTATTACAGGCGCATCAGAACGCACGCTGCTGGGACGACATACAATACCGCGTCTCAGATGTGCTGGCCGCGTCCGGCCTCAATGTCTCAATGTCTCAACCCGCTCCGGAAGGCCTACGAGCGACCTCAGACGACGCGTCCGTTGAAGAGCAAACACAGTTTGGTGACGACACGATCACGTCAGACTCTGAATGCGGCATTATTGCTTTGGAGAGCAATATTACAAAGCTGCGCGTAGGCTGTTGTCCTCGGCCGCTCAAGCCGGCGTGTATTTGCGCCCGGAAGCTCGTGCGTTCATTTAGCTATTATGACTAGTTCTGAACCTTACGCAGATCTTAAGACTGATGTACTGGAGGGTTCCTTTTGTCGGGCGGCAAGCGAAGAACAGTCCTTCGTGCTTCTAATACTCTACCACGCTCGCGACCATGTCATGGCTCCGTTCCTCTCCCACCTTCGAGAAACACAGATTTGAAGTCGGCTAAGTGTACAAGCTTCTCGAGAGGTATACCCTTTTATCATTGCGCGGCATCTTGAACGACCGCTCCATCGGCATCCGTATGGACATTGGCAACACAATTTGGCCGTACTCGACCATCCTACGTACGGATAGCGCGAGACGCATCAAAATCTTCATACAACGATCGTCGGTCTTGAGATAGCGACGTCCATGTGTACGTCCCCCCTATGCTTGCGCGTATGACTTGTGCTCAATCTGCTCCGCAGTGCCGAACGCGCCGCAAATCAAGGCGTACTCGGTCTGCCTGGCGACCCGAGCGGACGCCTGCACTTCGAGGCCTCCAGCCGCGCAAGATCCCTGTCTAAGTGCCTGCAGAGAGGAAGGGCGCGACGAGTGGGCGATCGGCTCCAGAAACGCAAAGATATCGCCATTGGTATCGACATCTGTACTTCGTATCCATTTTTTGGCGTGAATTTGGGCGACGCAAGGTCTAAGCACAATCGCGGATCTTACACGGACCTGTGACGCCCTCTGCGATACCGAATGTCCTGCGATAAACACTGCGCCTGAGCATGCGGGTGCAATGCCGACAACGTTACCACTCACCCTCCGGTCGCAGGTCGATGCCTCTCGAAGATGTCGTCCAGACCGTTCTGCCCATCGCGGTGTTCATCGGCGTTGAGCCGGTGACGAGATGGCGACACCCCAGAGCTCGTCTTCGCTTACCTCCAGTGCCAACCGTACCCCTCTTTTGGACCAACCAACAGCCTATCTCCAGTTAAGCGACGCCAATCTGCAGAAGGCCAAGATCGTCGGTTGGAAGCATATGGTGGACTTGGGACCCAGATGCGCGCATATACCCGCTCTTAATCTGCTGCTGTCTGAAGGTCCACGGGATTACTTGTGGATGCCGTGTTGGACCTGACGATATCCCGCACGAAAGATGAAAGCAATGCCGACGAGGTGGCCGTAGCTTGGCTGAAGAAGACTTTCAGTATCACTTGGCGTGCATGCCACAGGCCTAGGCATGGTTTGACGAGAGGCTCACTTTGATACTGCAGACACCGCCGGGTCGTGTTGGATGACACCACGGGAGGAGAATGGTGTCCTCGATACCGACCTCAAGGTACACGGCACGAGTTACCTCCGCGTCGTCGACCTGTCCATCGATCCGCCGTACTTTGCCTCGCACCAGCGATTGGCTGTGTACGCCAAGTTGTAGACAACGGTACGTGGTACATCCACTATTGCACTGGCCGCACAGACACTGACGAGCCATTGCGCAGCTGTCGATACTATTAAAGTTGCAGCTAGCCTCAGCTGTCGTTTTTGTGCAAAATCGTTGCTGTCTGTTGATGGTTCTCCTGGAACGTATGTGTACTTCTGGGTTCAAGCATGTACCGTAGACGCCGACGAGGAAATATCGAATATCCTCAGAGTTATGCATAACACCGCGGCGCAGCATTGGACGCCTATGAACCTCAACTTCTTACCTTCCACTTGCTCTTTGGATCGTCCTTTCACAACCTCTCGTTGGGCTGTATTGGTGCGCTTCTGTTCTCGAGCGCTACGCCCCACCTGACGAACAGTTCCACAGACAGGCACCCTGTCGGTGGCCGCGATTCTCGGTGAGGCGGCGCCTGCGACGTCCATGAACGCGAGCTTGAGGCTGGCTTCAGCCCCTCCTACACCCCGGACTGGCGCGAGACTGGCTGATATTGATTGTCAACTACATGTCGCTTTCGCGAGGTTACATAATGTGATGGCATGGCTTTTGCGTGCGGTAATTGTCAGCTGCCATCCTGTCCAGCAGTTTTCAAGTATCATTTATCAAGGCTGTGTCCCGATATATCCTGTAAACCGATGAATGATGCATCACGTCAGAGCCTCGTCTGTAAATGACCGCCGGCACGGCATGCTGTTGTCGTCCACCCCCATCGCTTGGGCAGCTACACAGCTGCACGGATGAGACTGAGGTAACAGTATCTGAGAGATATTGAAAATCACGCGGGCGCGATTTCGGTCATTCGGGAATCTGATCATTGAGCATTGGTTTTTGTCTGACCATGTCACACAAGTCTCAAGATACTCCGCATTCGAGAATCTGCCAATATTCTCTGCACTAATGAATCATGAATGCATCAGTCCGTGTGCTAAGAATTCTGCGCCTAAGACTTGTGCAAACGAGTCTCTGTGCTCGCAGCACTGACCGCCGTCGTGAGATGACATGAAGTGTCGACAGCCTGAGCATGAGCCCGATGAGGCCAGTGTGGCACTCACATGAGGCGATTTTATTAAGTTACAATGTAAGTACAGCGAGACTCTAGCCTGCACACGGTCACCCGGACCTCACTAACGAGACCCCAGTCTTCAGAGGCAGTCGTCGGTATGGCTTCGACTGCACTGTCTGCGGAAAACTAGGCATGTCACTTCGGAAAGCTCTTCACCACGAAGCAAGCGCACGTCACACGAGACGAGTACGCGAGCTCGATGGCCGTGTTGAAAGCGATCTATTTGAACTTGTGCCCGCCCATGTCCCGAATGTGTCGAACGCGTCTCCGAGTCTGAACCGCGCCGATTCGCCCTTGCCGCCTTCATCTCCACCTGAAGGCTATCAACCCAGCAATCACCTTCCAGCTCTATCTCTACACGGCACCTTTGGCACGGAGTCCACCTTATCAAGTTCACCAGATGCACTATGCCAACCGCTCGGCCGCATACACCAG